TACTATTTTTCAAAGGACTCCAGAGACATTTTACTCAGTCATGCTTCTGATGTGCTGTATTAAAAAATCCTTGTTGAAAGGTCACAAAGATGTTCTCAAACTTTCTTTCAAAACTTTGACAGATTCTGGGCCTCCCTGGTGGCACAAGGGGTTGAGCATAGCACTCTGAGGTGATCTGCAACCTCTGCTGCAAAAGTTCAATCCCCCAGCCAGCCAGGGAGCAGCCCACATGGCGCAGCAGACCTCTCCTGGCTCACCTGCTACTCCCTCAGCAGTGTATTTCAGTCAGTCTGCCTGTTCTGTTCCCCACTCTGTCTCTGGTGAACCCTATTACCCCCCCCCCATTTCTGGTCTGTACCCAGTTCTTGTATGCATAAATAAATCTTTAAAAAAAAAAAAAAACAAAACATTGAAAGATTCTAAGGTAGGACAGCAGCAGAGTGAGGATACACACTGGCCTCCTCCATGTATCCCATTATCAGTTTTGCTATAGCACAAATTGCTAGAAGTAAATTAGGCAAGAACTACCTTTGGTTAAACCTTCTAGGATGTTTATACAAGAACTCACCCCACATTGGAAACCTGTTTTTCAAAAAAGGATACTCAAAAATGGATTAGCTTGCCTAAGATGTGCAGGCATTACAATTAAGTTGCAGGAATTACAGAAAGGGATAATCAAAGTCAGACTAGGAATCAGGTACAAACCAAAAGAGAGAGAGAGAGAGAGACCAGAAAATCTATAATAAGGAGTGTACAAATAAAAACAGCAAACAAGAGAAGTAACTAAAGCTAAAAGTAAGAGAAAAATAGCATGATTGATACTATATTTTCTCTCACATAAAATGATGGTTTTCCCTAATACTGAGTGTCTGATTATTTAATTCAACTCTGTGGTAGCTACCCAGCATAGCTCCCACAAACCAAAGTCTACCAAACTGTGGACCATCTAAATTTAAAACAGAATTCATCACACATCATCATCAGCAAGAGGCTTTAGATGCTACCTATCATATCTTTCATAGGTATCTTTTATTATTATATATTGATCATGCTTAGCTGCCTTTTTTTTTCCTTAAAAATCTGGCTAGCAAATTATTCTGCCTATCTTTATTTTAAACAATTACTTTTATAGGTGGCATTTTATACTCACATTCAGGGAACTTACATTTTTACCTATTATATTTCTATCTCATAGACATATCCTCTTCTTAGACAAAGGGCCCATAATGCCAGTCCTTTTAATTTTTTGTGAACATCGATTCTATCATCCAATGTGTTCACTAACATTCTCATTCTTCTTTCAGGCTTATTCCTCCACAAAAAGAGAAAATTCTCTTCCATATTTCTATGCTCAGTTTATATCTAGGTCAGATGGACAATGGTTATCCCCTATTGTGCTCAACACATCCTAAAAAGCATTGTAAGATGGTTATACTTATTTCTCTATCCTCAAACAGCATCCCCTACTGAAGCACTTCTATGTTACAAGTGCAGAATGCTTAATACAAGATTTCCCCCCACTCCTCCCCAAACTATACTTACAATTACAGAAAACTGAATTCATATTGAATGTAATCAAATCATAGTCTATAATAGGTGATATAATTTATTAAGAATCACAAATTTATATTTTCTAACTGAATGTTTACTCCTCTTTTACTCAAACCAAAAAGTTGTATTTTGGGTTTTTTATCACCTCACTTTAGTCTTCTAAAAACAACAGTTCTACCTATAAATGCCTCAGTTCAGGCACTGAGACAGGAATCTTTAAAAAGAGCTAGTGTCAAAACAATACTTTGTTGTTGATATTCAAAATCCAGCCAATAAAAACATTTGTTCCATAATCAGAAATAGATTGTTAGTCATAGAATGTGTCTACAAAACAATTCTTTAATTTTCTTTGAAATACTCATATTAAGTAAAATATAACTAAAATTAACTGAAACTTTATTTATATGACTGTTTGTGGTTTCCACGTATGCCTTAAAAGCACAAGAAAAAGATAAAAATATCCCAGAATTGGAAAAGCAGTCATTATGTTTGGTTTAGCTTATTTTCATATTTTTATTTTTACAATCCATCCAAATTAAAGTTTGCCATTTCTCAACAGAAGAAAAAGTCAACTTCTTTACATATAAAGAGAAAGACTAAATTCAGCACCCTCTGAAGTAAACTGTAATCTGAATGAAGCCTAAAATCCCTTCCCACAAGTCAAAGTTTAATCATTAAGCTGAAAACAATTCTCTTTTGTTAAGAATTTAAATACATCAAAATACGCCATTTGGGGAGGGGTGGCAACAGAAAATAATTTCAATATATTATGCTCTGATTTTTCTTCAGATAAAATAAATATCTAAAATTGCCTTCCAGCCATTAAAAGCAGCATTCTTTTAATAGTTCTTCCAAAGGATAGACCATTTTTTTTAGATCCTGCCTTAAAGTGTCAATTCTAAGAATATTTCAGATCTTGGCTAGGAGTTAAAAGACCTGGGTTTGAATCCTAATTCTGCTGCGTATAGCTGTTAAACCTTGCTGATGTTTAAACTTCCTAATTTCATTTACTGTTCTATAAATTAGATATAGTACCACCAATAATCTAATTTATGTCAGTTTGCCATAGTCTATTAATTCCATACAACTGTTAGCATTAATATTATATGCTAAGTTGTTTCACTACCTTGGAAAGGATAACATTGTTTCCCCTGTAAGTCATCCAACTTGAATAAAAATCAGAGATTCCTGTGATCTCCTCCCCACTGAAATCAATTAGCATAGAACTCAGGTAAATATTTACTTAACCTATACCAGTATATTAAAGGATATAATAACAGATACAGAATAATAGCCAAAAAAAAAAAGAGATACATAGTGCAAGGTTGCAGGAACTTCTGTCCCTGTGGAGCTGGGGTACATCACTCTTTCAATACATGCTTTGGAGATTTTTATGGAGGCTTTATCTCATAGACATGATCAAGAATTAACTCCATTTTCACTGCTTCTCCTTTCTCAAGAGAATGGGGATTGGGGCTAAAAATCCCAAGTTTTTAATAATGGGGTGGTCTTTCTGATGATCAGTCTTCAACTACGAAGCCATCTAGGAGGCGATCTAGAGTAACCTCATTAGAACAAAATTTGACAACCCTATCGCCCAAGAAACTACAGAGTTTCAGGAATCCTACTGTGAAAAACCCAGATAGATCAAATTTGAAAACAAGATTTTCCTAGTGCTCTTAACAATACTTAACAAATGATAAGGGTTTCACAAGCTCTGAAACCAGGAATTGGTGTTTTGTGCTTTGTTAAGTACAAAATAACTTTAACATCTATCAAAGCCTATTTTAAACATAATGAAATCATTAAAACCAAAACATATAATACTTTCTATTATCTCACAGATCCTCACATCTCCCCCCCTACTTTCACTACCAAAATTCAAGATTTACTCTCTCTGTGGGGCTATAGAATCCACAGTTTTCTTTACACACATCAGTTATAACAATCAAAATTAAGCATTCAACAATGTATCTGTTATCCTTAGTAAAGCAGAAGAGGCTATTCATTAGCTAGGGTGAGAAAATTTACAATTTTCCAAGAGAGATATTTCTAATCCATGCTAACAACAAAATGAAAAATTCTTCCTTTGAGGAGGTGATCTGAGATATCAACAAAGAGCAATACCGGGTCTCCCCTGGTGGCGCAGCGGTTGAGCGCTGGGCTGCGAAACTGCCCGCAGCCTCTGCAGCGCGGATTTGATCCCTGGCCACCAGGCAAGGGTCCCACATGGTGCGCAGACCTCTCCTGCCGCGCCCACTGCTCCCCTCAGCAGTGTACTTTGGTCCTTCTGCCTGTTCTATTCCCCAGTCTGGCTCTGGTGAATTCTCTCACCCTCCCATGCTTCTGACTGTACCCAGTGCTTGCATAAATAAATAAATAATCTTTTTTAAAAAAAAAAAAGAGCAATACCGCCAACAGCAGTGACAATAATAAATATCAACCAGTGACCTCATTTATTAAGCATTTTATGGAAGACAATGCTATAAGCATTTTTGTACATATTTCCCAATTTTTTAAATCTTCATAACATCCATATGAGATTAACATTGTCATTACCTTGCATTATAAATGAGGACTCTGCCACACAAAGTAGTTAAATGATCTGTTGTTAAGTCATACCATGCAGCTGGGATTTCAACCCAGTCTCCTCCAGAGCTTACACTCTTCACTATTATAATATACCAATGCTGTCTCAACAAGAACTATTTTGAAGAACACTGTGTGTTCGTGTGTGTGTGTGTAAAAGAAAAGACACAATATAATAAATACACACATGTACACATATACCTGTATGTTTGAGAGCTGTACTTTATAGTCATATTGCAAAATACTTTAGTGATCATCTTTCCAATCCCTCATTATACCACCATGGATCCACAGTCAGATAAAATATGCTGGCAATCACAAGTTATGCCCAACCTTTAAATCCCTTTAAAATGGCTGACAAAAATAAACTAGTAGAATTGCATTATTATAAAGCAACTAAAGATCCTGTAGCTAGAAAGAATTTGGATTTCAAGCCAAACTTACACCATGACTGATCCACCACTAAACCAACCTCTGGTTTCTTATTTTTCCATGTTTTGTTTAATTTTCACATAAATAACTGAAAATTTTTCATTAAAAATGTAATAATTAATTGCTTAGTAACACACTATCACTGAAGCTACCTAGAAAATAAGCTTTTTAACTAATGGGATTTTTAACAGGAACTTTGCAGCTTCCTAAATACAAAAACATCATCATTTTTATCTTTAATATTCAAGAGAAGTTTAAATGGCAAACAAACATTATAGAATCAATACTGTACTTGGAAACTAGGGTAAATTATTCTAGCAATATGTTACAGTTAATCACATTATCAGTAAATGTAACATTAAATGTAATCTAAAAATGTAACATATTAAGTATCATTATAAAAGTACAATAATACAACATCAACTTACCAATTCAATTCCCTGTGGAAAAGGTGTATCATCCCAGTCCTTCTGCGGAAATCTCTGGATTATTTTCCCCAGACCTGCTCCTGATCCTATTAATAAAATCAAAGTGAATTAGTTACAGGGTTCTTTACAAAGTCTGAACAGTCATTATATTAATATTTAGTTATACATGAATATTTGTTGAATAAATTGATGCACTGCTTAAAACATTTTCAAGTTTTAAAGGGCATAAAATTATTTACCTTCTAAACGTAATACTAAAATGATAATCTTTATGCTACTGAATCTCAGAAAAGTGACATAGATGAAAAACTAAAAAAAACAGAGGTACTGAAACCTAAAATTTCTACACTATGGAGTAACTGCCCTTTGCTCCCAGTAAGGAAATCAATCTTTTCAGTGTCTCAAGTTGAAACTTAAAAGTTTTTCTATGAAGACAAAGCAATTTTAAGTGATAAGTGAGATAGTACTATTAGAACTAAGCTTCAATAATGGGTTATAAACAGTTATGGGCAAAATAAAGATTTTTAGAGTAACCTAGGAACTTATCAATCTCTAGGCAGGATTTCTCAACATTACCACTACTGACATCTGGGGGTGGATAACTCTGCTATGTTTTAGCAGGGAGGGGCAGTTGGCTGTCCTACACACTTTAGTGGCTTAGCAACTCCCCCAGCATGAACCTTCTAGATGCTAATAGCACCTTCCCAACTCCACCAATTATCTAATGCAACTAATGTCTGGAGACATTGCCAAATATCCTCTAGGGTTAAAACTGCCCTTGTTTGAAAAACACTGGTCTATAGCATTGCTACAAAAATATCCTGTGACAATAAAAAATAGATCAACTCATAGCTAAACTATAAGGATATAGTTTGTGAGTAACTTGGGGCTAAAAAGTACATATTAAATCTAAATGGATTTTTATTTTACTTGTTGAAGAGTTCCATGCATTTGTGTATTCTACATGTTGTTCCAGCTCACTTTGAAGTGAAAACAACAACATTCTGATTATTTCTACATTTAACTCAGGAAGCCTTAACATTTAATTTTTACATATATAGAGAGATACAGATACACAAATTATATATATATAAAGAGAGAGAGAGAGGTGTATGTTTTTAATCACCCACTATCATTTTCTCACCCTCTTCCCTCTAAATTTAAATTCCTCCTTGTCCCTCACATAAAGTTCAATCACTTTATGCCTAAATTTTTACTTTTAAAACATAAATATTAAGTTAAATTCACTTTACTAATCAACTCGGACCTGTGTTCTAAAACTTAAGTCTTTTTTTTTTCCCAAAGATTTATTTATTTATACAAGAGCCGGGATACAGGCCAGATGTGCTGGAGGGTGAGAGGATTCACCAGAGACAGAGTGGGAACAGGCAGACTGACAAAATACACTGCTGAGGGGAGCAGCGGGTGAGACAGGAGAGGTCTGCCTCGCCATGTGGGCATCTCCACAGCCGGCAGAGACTGAACCGGCACGGATCGAACCAGCACTGCAGATGCTGCGGACTGCCTCACGGTGCTGCGCTCAACTGCCTGTGCCACCAGGGAGGCCCAACTTAAATCTTTTTTTAAGTAAAAACATTCCAAATTAACAACTACTATAGTACAGTAACTCTTCATCTATCCATCAATATTGGGGAGGAAAGATTTCATAAAGAGAAAACTAACTAGTATCACAGGCAATCATTTTTCAAAATCTACCAAAAGCATCACAACTTCTGACATCCCAAGCAGACCTAATTCAACAAATTGCTAGTTCTGGACAAATACAAACAAAAAAAGACATTAGCTCCGTAGGGAACTCATGATCTGTGAGGAGAAACAGACAAATGAACTGATCATTCAACATGTATAGTACAATGATAAAAGGAGAAATAACCCAGCATAGCAGAGAACACCCCAAGCATTGAATACTGAACACCTGACAACTAGTTCATACTGAGTTAAATGTTTGTTTTAATAAACTCACTAATAATGACAAATTGTTTTAAGCTTACATCTACCTCTTTTAAAACACATAAATGCATATTATTATGTCATATTTAACTAGATACCCTATACCATTTATTCCATTCTAAAAATTGTATTTAATGTAATTTACAGTCAGATATTTTATCATTTTTTACTAATTATAAAAACAATAAATGTTAACTATATTTTTTTTAAATACCTAAAAATATAAGAAATTATAACGGGGGCTGAAGCCAAAGACTTACAAAACCACCAATAATCCCACACCAGGAGGCGATCACTACTAATCACACACATGTATTTTTTCTACATAATTGAAATCATATTAAACTTAGCTTTACATATTGATTACTTAATATATTAAATGAGCTTTTGATGCTATTGTATATTTTCTAGTTTCTCACTATAATAATACAAGAAAAGCATCATTCTTTATAAAACTTTATCTTCATCTCACTTTTCCTCAGAAAAATCCTCAGATATACAACTATAGTCTCAAAGATTATGAATATTTTAAAGATTCACAAAGCCAAAGGACCCGGTAGAGATTAACTACATATAAGAATTTTATATACTGTGTATAAGAATGACATTTTTATTACATCTTTACCAATAACTTATTTTAAAATGTTGCTTACTGCCAATTTCAGAAATGAAATGTTTCCTCTTTCTTTGCAGGAGCATAACTTTCGAAAGTTCTCTAGAAAAAATATATATTTTTATTCATATATTTTAATTTAACTGTATTGTTTTTATTGAGGTAGAAATTGATTTCATTGTGATATGTAGTGTTAGACTTACTTGAAAATGCTGACATAAGATTAATAAATGCACACAAAAAATTATTCATAAGACTTTCAGTTATATGATGATGTTATATGAAAATGGTAATTAGGTTAGAAAAAGGCAAGAATAAAAATGGTAAACTACTTCACTACAAATGAAATGTGGGAAAGGTGATAACTTGGTTTACAAATATCAAATATGTAAACTGCTGCAGCTAGCAACTTTTGAGAAACTTAAAGTACTTTATAAAAACTAAAATGTGGGCCTCCCTGGTGGTGCAGGAGGTTGAGCACCACACTGTGAAGCTGTCCACAGTCTCTGCAGCGCGGGTTTGATCCCTCGGCCGGCGAGAATCCCACATGGCACAGCAGACCTCTCCTGCCTCACCCACTGCTCCCCTCAGCAGTGTATTTCATCAGTCTGCCTGTTCTGCAACCTGCTCTGTCTCCAGTGAATCCTCTCACCCTCCTGCACATCTGGCCTATACCCGGTTCTTGTATAAATAAATCTTTTTTTTTTAAAAAAAAACTAAAATATTTTCTGATTCTTGCTTATTTTTAAATGTTGGTCTGAATGTTTAAATAAATGTATTTCCCAAGTTTATATATTTTATTGATAACCATTCTTATAGGGAGTACTGGTTATATTTATGAATGCCAAGAAAATGATATTTACATTGAAGAGCAAGTCACCCTGAGGAAAGACTTTTCTAGAGTCAGATATCTCATTTGGGCTGGCCTTATGAAGAGAGGTCATGTCAATCAGAGTGGTAAGCAGCTTATATCTGCACTAAATATTAAATGGGCTAGGTGAGTGGAAAAGGAGAGAGGGAAATTTCTCAAAAGAAAGAGGACTATTTCCAAGAAAGGAGAAGTATTAAGCAAACAAAATTGTGATGGTCCAATTGTATGCAGCTTAACTGGAAAGGGGGTGGGGCTTGTCAATCAGGGCCTTCGTGTTTTTCTTTCCAGTTCCTACTCTCCCACTCCACCATAAAATTTTAAAATAAAACTAAATGGAGTTTACATATAAAAACAGGGACCCTTGGCAGGCCATCAGCACATCTGGAAATTGCTTCCTTCGAAAAAAGTATATATGCTAGACAAACTGCCCAAGGCAAATAAGAAGGGTGAGGAAATATTGGCATGGTCAGGCATACTTTTCCCTTCTAACGTTTGGTAACCCACTTCCCTTGGGTCCTCGTAGAGTTGTTGGCTGGCTACTCAACCCAGCCAGATGAAGTAGGAAGTGACCAAGAATGAACCAATCATCCATCACTCCCTGGCAAAGCCACTGTTCTAGTCTTGGCAAATGATCCCAGGGGAATCAAACAATATTCTCCAGAGTTGCTAACTACATGCAAAGGTGTGGAGTTGTCAATAGCTATGAGGAAATACATCTATAAAAGGACTGAAGAATGAGCAGGAGTTAACCAACTGGAGAAGTGTAAATACTCTGATCTACAGAAGGTGGGATGTTTGATATTTCTTGACTATACCAATTGACAAAAAGTATTTGAGCGCCTTTCATGTATTTAGTATAAACAAAGAGATACACAAAATATATACTGCTTGATTTAACATAGACTGAACTTTGAAAAATGCTACTCCAAAAACTAATTCAATAATCTTTTTCTATTTCATGTCCACCTAAACAACTGTTTTAATGGTTAACTACAATAGACTTGTTTAATAGTGTTTATTCACTTCCTCTTTTATCAAAAGTAGTACCACCCACAGTTCAATCAAGGGTAGCAGTCAAATTCAGGAGCATACCAACCTACAGGTTCTTTCACCAGCCAAAAAGAAATCACTAAGTCATTTATTTAGCTATTACATTTATTGTCACTTGTCTGTCTCACCTCACTAGATTGAAAACAATCATTTTGGCCTGCTTTATTTATTGATGTACTCCCAGCATTAAGACCAGTTCTTGGCATACATTAGGTACTTGATGAAAATATTTGTTGAAAAAATGAACAGAGTAGACAAGGGCATCTGTAGACTTGCAAGCAACTTTTGACCAGAGTGACAGATTCCTCTGCTAGGCAATTTTATAGAAAAAATGAGAGAATAAAGCAATCAAAAAGAGGTATCAAGACTTGTTATGATGTGGAGAAAGCTCAGGCAAACATAGTGGATGATATGTAAAACCAAAGTTATAAACAGCAGAAACTTGCCAACACAAACATGTAAAAAAGAAGCAGAAATGCCACAAGACAAAGGTCGTGTAGCTAAGTTCTACTTCCACTAAACTAGCAGCATTGTAGCATCTGTCATCAAATTTATGAGCTATTATGATATTCCTCCCTCTT